ACTACGCTACCGCCAGATAAGTGTGATACATTTTCTGAAAGGTCTCGGCAATACCTTTTCAACAAGCCCTAATCAAAAATAATCCGACGAGTATTTCCAAAGTTACGCTAATTTACATGACACCCGCTCGAAACCCAAACAAAATTTTTTCAAACGGCTGCCATTTCTCAGGGAAGCGATTTTCGGCAAAAACTCAAATGGATGTTTCGTAGAATTGTCCAAGGAATACGCCCCTGAAGTTAAGCTACTCATCACTGGACCACCCTGTATATATACATATATGACAAATGACGATAGTCAACATAAGGCGGCACAGAACACACGCACCGACACAGAGACCATCGGTCGACACATGGTGGAAGGATTCCGGAGGATGCGCAGTCGTCTGAAAGTAGTGGGGTATAATCAACTAATCAGATTTCACCCATTCTGCAAATGCACTAGTGCAGCTGAGTGCAGCAGTGCAGCGAAAAAGAACAGATCAAAGGTGAACAGTGTTGATGACACTGCCGTGACACTGACATATAGGTTATTTCGGACATCATGCCGAATTGTTTTGTAAAAAATTGTAAAAAATCGGACATCTTATATATTTAATAAAAATGTAATGTTTTATACATTTCCTCAAGATCCGGATTTGCGATCAAAATGGTTGGAAGCTTGTAAGAAAGATAAAGAATACAAGAATAAAAATGGTAATTAAATTATGTTTTTAACATAATTTTAACATATATCACTCGGATATAACCTATATTCCTCTTTATACAATAATTTTTATTAAAATTACTTCCAGAAAGAATATGCGAGATACATTTTAAGTCAAACTGCATCGAAGAACAAATCACTAAACCACGTTCGAAAGGTACTGAACCACGTGTTATACGTCGACTTAAAAAAGGATCGATACCAACAGAATTTCTTAATTTACCGAACGAAAGACACAAGCGGTTATATTCATTGGACAAATTTTACAACAATGATGAACCTTCACAGAAATCAGTTTGGTAAGAATAAAAAGCCGATTTTGAATTACAATACAAACCAGATTTTAATGTGAGATTCAAAGTTACAGTTCGATGTAGCAATGAAAAATAGAACTCGAAACCTGAGTTTGACTTATTTTATTGACATATATTTGACATGCCATAACAGTGCATTTTTGTAATTATAGTACCGGAATACCAACTTATGAACAACTTGTTGAACCTACTACAATATCGGAGATTACCATTAATTCCTGTGCTGTAAATGCAACTACAACGGAAGAGCATGCACCAATAGAAAACATCTTTGGACAAGAGTATGTATCTCTTCGAATATATTAATGTTATTCTTTAAAAGAAGGTATTGCAGAAAATTTCTTATTTCATTTATTGTACATTTCAGAACAGTACAAGAAGCTGACCAGACAAGGAAGCCAGAGGATATTAAATGTCTTTTGG